AAAAAAAAAAAAAAAAAAAAAAAAACAAAGGAGAATTAAGATGAGAGCATAGCTGAATGAGCTACCACTTGCTTATGAAGACAAGAATTAAAAATCGAAAACTCAAAGAAGGAATTCGAGACGTAATGCAGACGAACGAGACTTCCACAGCCAATTTGCTAAAAGATTATATTTTGAACAACTTACGAGAAAAGTGAGACATACCCTGGGGTAGCTCCAACAACAAGTTTATTGATGGTGTGCAGATTTACCAATTCCACAATTCCTCTTTGAACTTCATCACTGTCAGTTGTAACAATGCTTGCTTTCACCTGCATATAATGAGTACCATTTCATCAGGATAGTTCGTCACTGATCACGCCCATAAAATGGGATCAATTTTCACTTGGGCAAAATGATCCCAAATATTTTATGGGGTTCGTATGAGGGCAAAGAAAACTGAATGCAAGAGCAAAAACGGGAGGATAAATTAAATATGTCATCCCCTCTCAATATGAAGTAAAGACTTGGTAGGTAAGACTTACGGCAAATACTTACGATTTTCTCCAGAAATTTGTATTGAACACTTTTTACCCTTCATCGAAAAACAAAAATGTAATTTAGATAGATATTTTCACAAGAAGAAATATACCTTGGATCTGCTGCAAATCATCAGGTAATCAGACAATAGCTTCATTGTCTCTTCTCTCTCTTCATGTCTAAATGCTGCCAGCATATCAGGATTTGCTCGACTAGCTGGCAATTTTCCCACTGCACAGAATTTAAGCAACATTTTATTCCACTCGTAACAGTAACAGTAACAGAAAAGAAAAAGAAAGAACAGAATAATAATCAATGAAGAGAAGGAGAGAATACATGAAACTCTCATTTTTTCTCAACTATTGAAAGAAAACAATCACATTTTAGGATGAACAAAAATAAGTAGAAACATCTTAACTGAAATAAACTCACTCTAATTTTCACTTAGTAATGTTTCATACAAAGTATCCTGACGAGAAAATCGACATGGAATAACGGAAAAACAGAAATAACATATTGATTTGCTCTTGAACTCAAAATCACATAAAGAAAGAACCATCAATAAGCATTCAAAAATCATTTACAAATACCAACAAGATAGAGAACGAGAGAAAATTCTCTCTTACATGGTTTAATGATCTTTACATTACGCTTAAAATCCCCATAAATAAATAGGATTCGTGAAAGGTCAAAACAAATAACGAATTAGATCGCAAAAGTTCAAATGACATTGAAGCTAAACGACACGAATCTATTCTATTAAGTAATGCTTCTTAAAATAATCGAGCAACACCACATCTAAAACTGGTCTTAAAAAAATCTCTCTGTTTTGTCCTTATTGTTTAACAGAATCTGTGCAGATAACAAAATTTTATTCTGCTCCCCCAAGTAAAACTACATATAAAAAGAAATCCTACAAATACAAAATTAATCTCCATCTGCTTTTCTCCTTACATGGAGTTGGAATGAAGGGAGAAGGACGATTAACGTGAAGCAGGACAACTTCGCGCCCTGGGAACACGCTGCAAGTCCACTGTAACAGCGCCGTTGTCTTCTCCAGGGACCTCCCCACAGCTACGTAGACGACGTCGCCGTCGCCCATCTCCGCCGGCGGCGGCGAGAACCCGGTGGCGAAATCTCCCACCGGCCGAGAGTGAGTCAGGAGCGCCGCCATCTGGAGTCAACTTGAAATGGTTAGTGAGCCAAAATACGCGGCTTTAGAATGACTTTATGTTTTCCTCCTTTTCGCCATATTTGTATCTGAACTGGAATTTTTTGGACGGACTAAAAAAGATTCTTGGAAAAATCTTTTGAGTTTTTTAGAGGAATTTTTGTAAAAAAGTGGCTTTAGAGTGGGTCTAAAGGTTTGACTTTTGTCTTGATTTTTTTGGATTCAGACAGCTATTTTGGTTGTCCTTGAGAATGTGTTCGCCGATGACTTTGGTGGCCATGATAGGATCCTACTGTACTTCTTACTTCTTAGACACCGCCACCAGGCGACCCGACCCGTAATCAACGGGCTCAAAATCGAGCCTGCAGTTTGACTGGGCTGGGTTCCGGGCTGTATATAAATTTTTGACCCCGCATATTTTCCATTTTTTTACTTGAGAACATTACCTCTTTCACCACAAGTATTTTTTCTCTAAACAAAAATGCTACCAAAATTCTTTATTACATTTTTAAACAACTGAATTACTTTATGCAATTATTTTTATTTACAAATATTAATATCATACCAAGTC